CCAGCCAGGCCGTGCCGCACAGACCCGCGGTGCGCCCTCCCCGGCTGCGCTCGCCTTAACTGCCCAGCGCTTCGGTGGCTTAGGTTTTGCTGTTGGGTTAGGGTTTAGATTTGGCTCAGATTTTGCTTTTAAATTTTGGATTCGTGCTGCTTCTCCGTTACGGAATTGCACGAAGGGGTTAGGAGGTAAGGACAGCGGCTGTAGAGATCTGCAAAAGCTTGTTTGGTAGCATCGTCCAGAAATACTTTGTGCTTTATTTATTTTTTTTCCCTTACAGATTAACTTAACTCCTGGTAGTTTCTTAAATTGCTTCGTAACAAAGGCAGGGAGGCTGCCAGTGCCGGTGTTGATGCCCTGTCCCCGGGCCGGGGAGAAGCCAGCCGGTGCCACCTCTCTCGTCCTGGGGGGCCAGCAGTGTTCGCCCCGGGAGCAGGCAGCGCCGGTGCAGCCCTAGCAGGAGCCCTCCGTGCGATGGCTGGCTCTTGCCGTTTGTAGGCTATTAAGTACGAATTTTTGAAAGATCAGGGTTTGGCCTGCTGTGGAAATGAGCGCTTTTGTTTTCTGTCTCGTGCGTGGGTATTCGTGGCCAGCGCACTCTGGAGAACAGCGTCTCCCGCCCGTTCGGGCCCCAGTCAAATAGAAGCTGACAGTGTCAAGAAGGGAACAGTTATGGTATATGGAAGAAACACAACATTGCTTTGGCGCAGCATTGCCTGGAAAAATATTTGAGTCTCCACAATAGCTTTCTCCTGTGATTTCACTCCGTTCTGAATTCAGTGGTTTTTCTGTACCAAGATCTTTTCCTGAATTGAATTAATGAGGAATAAGTCTGTTGTTGCAGTGATTAGCTGGTAGGTTAGAACAGCTTGTTTTAATCGTGTGTTTAAAGTTTATTTCTCACGCAGCTTTCCTCAGCGTTGATGTGTCATTGTGTAGAAGCAGCATTAAGCTCGTGTTTGTTTTGTAAATTAGTTAGAAGAAAACCAAGCAGGAGTAAGGAGAGCTTCTTGACTTGAGCAAGAGCTGCTTGACTTGAAGGCCTCTGATTTGCCTCGGTAACATGGAAATATTTTGAACTTTGTTTTCAGCCCAAAAAGCTATAAGCAACTTTGGAAATCGCGTCAATCATTCCAGGTGAAAGAAGTGAGAAAAAAATGCAAACTCTCTTTTTTTCCTTCTTTTTTTTTTTTTCCCCTTTCCCAGCAAAATCGAGTAGGAAACTTACGTTTCTATATTTAGCAAATGATGTCATCCAGAACAGTAAGAGGAAAGGTCCTGAATTCACAAGGGAATTCGAATCTGTCCTTGTGGATGCTTTTTCTCACGTTGCCAGGTACGTAGCTGTGTCTTGTATTTCTTCAGCTCTTCTCTCTAGAGATTTGCATTCTTGTTACACCAAGTCGGATTCGATTGGATTTTGTTGGGTTTTGGCTCTTTTAAAGTCTCAGGGATGCCTGTACCCTCTCTAGCAGAGATGGGATTCTGACTACTTTGCAGCTAGGAACTGTTTAGCGTTAATATTTCTCGTTGGGGAAACTTGTTTGTAGGTGAATTGGCCTCTCACAGCTTTACACATTTGTTCTCTGCCTGCAGCTCCTATGTGCATTTTTAATTGTTACCAAAAGATCCTGCGGATCGGTTCATGGGTAGTGAAACTGAGTCATTGCGTGCATTTATTAAAGCCACATTATGAATGGCGCTTCCCCCTTGTCAGAAGACTTTAAAAGAGCGGATATTTTGGGTCACTGGTTTCTCGTCCGTCTTCTGGTCTGAGCAGGATTTCTTTTTGCATTGCTCGTTTTGGTGGCCACTTGATCATTAGTCTCCTTGCCAGGGGAAGAAAGGATTTTACACGTAAAAGGGAAGCAGCAGCAATGCAGCTACCATCTTGTCAAAAACGGGCTGCCATTTAGTTAAGATTTTCCCTGATTAACATAATAATTCCTATTATCTCAACCAAACGAAACAACGTTAATGTCCCGTGTGTTTAGTGGTGTGCTCTTGGAGAGGGCTGTCTAGCTTTCAGTGCGCTATACGAGTACATTTTAGTGCCTAATGATCCAACCAACCTGCTTTTTAATTGGGATGTTATTGACTGAAACAACTGTTTGGAGTTAATACTCTGAATTGTAAACATGCCAACTTGGTGGTGTTTTATAACTCTTCTTGCACACTCTGAACGGTAGCAAGTTTATTCCTTCTGAACTGTTCCTGCTTTTACTTTGGGGTGGGAGCGCGGGGTGCTTTCAGGCAATCTTTGGCCCCGATAAAAGGGGAGAACTGGCCACAAATGTGTGTTGCACAGTTTGTCCCAGACAGTATGAGGATTCTCTCCAAACGTGCAAATATTACAGTGGACGCAGCTGCTAGTTTGGAAGATGCTCTCTTAAAACATAAGGAATATTTTTCAGCTGAGCTATTAATTATGTTCTAATCTTTGAACAGAGAAGCAGATGAGGGCTGCAAAAAGCCCTTGGAACGATTGCTTAACATCTGGCAAGAAAGGAGCGTGTACGGCAGCGAGTTCATCCAGCAACTGAAACTTTCTATGGAAGACTCCAATAGCCCCCAGACTAAAGGTAAATGTGTATCGCTTTCCTTGTGTGCTTTGCTTTGTTTTTTAAATCGGTGCGTTTCGCTGAAAGTGCTGCGAGGAGTTGAGCTCTGGGCTCCTGCAGCCGAGTTGTTGCCAGAGCTGGTCATGGCGATTCTTCGGGATTGCCATGAGAGAAGTCTGATTTTTGTGGAACTCGCAGTTCCAGTCTGAAAGTTGCCTGGTGACTTGTGGCTGGCAGTAAGCTAAGCTTAAGGTAATTTCAGCTTCTGCTCATGCAGACAGAATACTCCAGGGCTGCCTTTTGATGTGAAGACAAGTAAGTAGGGTGCAGGGAACTGTTGCGTCCACCTTGAGAGTTAAAATTGTCCCACTCCACATCTCTGAGCGTGATCAGCTGGGTTATTATCATGGTTTATTCAATAGAGTTTGTCCTTTCAGTCTCACTATTTTTTTGTTTTTCTTTTGCGTAGTTACTGTATTTTATTATGACTTTTAAGAATTGAAGGCTGGAATATATGCCCAGAAGCTTGTCTGGTCTCTTTTTTTTCTTACACCAGCTGATGTCATTTGGGGAAGACAATAACTTTGCCTCATTTAACATCGTTAGAACATCATGGTTATAACCTTGTTATTGCATGAGACAGATGTGCGAAACTGAGTGTAAGCTTCTTGCCTTTATTGTGCTTTCATACTGCATTGGCGGGTACTGCCTCTCCTGTAGCACCTGAGAACATTGAACTGGTCGTACTGTAGTGAAAAGAGGGGAGCAGTAGGATGCCTCGCCTATGGAAGGTGAGGCTCGTTACAAATCCAGAGTGTTCTGGGCAGGGGAGTGTTTGTCCACTTGGCAGCTAAAGGAAGCATCAATGTCTTCATGTTAGCTAAAAGCACATTGCTGCTTCGACCGGATTTGCTCTGTCCCCCATAGAGGTGCGATACTTTGTGAGAGAGTTGGCTTCGTCCTTAGGAAGGTGCTCTTAGGCCATTGTAGGTGGCGGAAACAAGCAAGGTATGTCTACTGGAGTTGTTAATTAATGCGGCATTAATATGAGGCATGTGAAGGCATAGGTCTGTGGCTGTAGTTGCATGTGTTTTAACACGCGGGATGGGTGTTTCGGCAGCTTACAGCAGAGGCCTTCCAGCTGGCCGCAGCTTAACTGTGACGTTCAGGAGGTAGTGCCATTTTTACCCCAAATGCTGGGGGAGACCCTTCTGACCTGACCAAAGGGGTTGTCGCTGCTGTGTCAGGACAGAGGGGGTCTTTGCTCCAGTGGTGGGAGAAGGGAAGGGCGGAAGCTGAGCGGTCTCCACACGAAATAGCTCAAATTGGGGTTTTGCTGTTGTCTGGGTGCAATAAGACACCTGTTTGTGGTGAAAGGACAGAATTTAGGTGCCCAAATTCCTGTGGGACTGATTAACTGAGGGTTTGAAACTGTGCATTTGAGGTGCCTCGACAAGTGTTTCACAAGCGTTTAATTTTTAATCTAAACAAGATGATACCATGTGTCCAAGGAACGGGGCTGCAATTTCCTGGTGCTGGCAACCGGCTTGCTCAGTGTCCTCCTCCTCTTGGCTGGTGGGGTCAATCAGTCCGGCTCCTGTTTTCTGCCCAACTTAGAAATGTTTATACAAAATCAGACCCTTCCTAAGTGTAACAGACCTTTGTCTGCAGGGAACAGAATGAAGAAATAAAAGCGTTTTAGGGACTGCTGTGTGCGCATCCTTGCTTGGCGAGGAGCTTAGGTTTTGTCTGGGTAATTGGAGAGATTAATGTAGTCTCTTTTATTTGAGGGAACTGTTAGGGCCTTTTCACGAGTGTGAATATTGCTGCCTTTTTGTCAATTCATTGTAAAAAAGAAACTGAGATTTTCTTAAATTAAGAGGGAAAAAGAAATTTGAAAAACTCCACAGAGTTGTTCTGAGTTTTTCTCCTTGTTTTCACTGGCTTGTTTTCAAATTAGTTTCTTAATGGCAAGAGCTAGTTCCACATGGGATTTTTATGGGTTTGTAAGATAAAGTGGTGTTTGTCCAGTTCTTGGTGGGTGACTGTGTTGCAGAAGGCTTTGTTGCCGTTATTCTGTTTTCAAACAGATGAACGTAAGCGAAATGGACAATAATGTGTCTGTTTTACAGACGTAATGTTTATCACAGAAGTGGAAAACCATTGTAGGCTGCTCCCCCAAACCCATTCTGAAGTCTTGGTTTTCTGTACACCCAGGGTAGATGCAGCTGAGAGATAGGTGGTAGTAGTATCCTTAGACTGGTACAAGGTTGTGCCGTTAAACAAAATTCTGAAGGCCCTTAAGGGTATCTGGTGCTGTGGTCAGGAGTATTCTTTTCTTCAGCCCAAGGTATGGCAGCAAGCCTACGCAGGCGGTTCTCCGCAGCTGCTTCACATCGCAGGGTGCCAAATGCCTGGGCTGGTAGGTGCTGTTCTCTGAACGGGATGGCTTGGGTTGGAGAGCACCAGCTGCACTTAGAGTTGTGAAACGTGCCCAAAATGCAGAGCCCTGTATTGGTGAGGAAAGACGTCTTTAAAGCTTACTGGTGCGTGTTTCAGTGGCGTTTCATTAGCAGTTGGGTAAATGGATAGCAGTTCAGTCAGCAGGATGTGCTAAGTTCCTGCCATGGAACAAACCGATTGCACAAATAACGAAGCTTTCCCATCAGAAAGAGTTCCAGCCCTTTCTAAGCAACCCATATTCCCTGTTCTTGACTTCCCCAGTGGTGCACCTCACTACCACATTTTAGTCTTCCAGGTTCCTTAAGGAAAAATACATACACATGGAAATGAGCTTTTGAATATTGATATTTTATCTTGTTTTAAGTCTAAACGTATTCATTAAGCTTGCATTTGCTTTCTCATTAATCTCATTTTTATTAGAATGTTTCTGTTTACAAGCAGTAGGGAAGAGAGGAACCACCCATTTATCTCTCAGCCTGGGAAAACTAGGTCTGCAGAGGTTTGATGTAAAGTCCTTTAGGTAACACAACCTGTATAGCTGACGTTTTCTTTTCATTGTCTTGGTAATAAGTGGTTGAAGGAGGTCCTTGAATGTGCTGCCGTGAAGGAGTGTCCCACTATAATGCAGACCTGAACTGCTCCCCACCTGCTCTGATTGCCTTTATATTGCAGATTCTGGCACGGGAAGCCAGACCCACATTAAAATATGGAGAAAAGCATCAGGCAGGAGAGCGGGCGGGCACACTACCAAGAATAACGGAGATGAAGGCACCTGGGGACAAGACTTGGTAGAATTTTGGAGCAGATCAACTCCAGTTATGCTTGACCTAGGAGAGGCTGCCAGCAAACGTACGGTGTGATGAGAACAGTCATGAGTAACCTGCCCCCAAAGAAACAAACAGTTGGAGGGTACACTGGACCGTTAGATTTCTCTTGTTCTGGTCTTCTGGTGCTCTGCAATGGTCTTCTCTTTTCTTTAGGAAAGCTGTCAATTTTTTGTTGTTGTAGTATTCAATATTTTGTCCTCCATCACTTCCCAAAAGTCTCTTTCATCTGAGTTTACTTGGATCTTGCACTAGTTGCTAAACTCCTGTTGCCTGGAGCCTAAAGCCTACAGAAGTTTAGTTTTTAGTTACAGTTTTTGTTATGCTGATTGAGGATGGCAGTCCTGCCAACACATAAAAACCCACTTAAATTCAGCTGGCCTTCCTGTCGAGTAAACAGTTACATAGAGACCTGCAGAAGCCCCTGTCTCACAGGTTTGCCTGTTACTCTAGAGCTGCAGTAGCTGTCAGTGGGCTTTCCTTGCATGTTTCTGCTCATGCAACTTGACCCCTAACTGTAGTAACGGTCAGAAAAGGCACATGATGTAGCGGTGCCAAGGCTGATAAATCCTCGTGTGAATTAAGGACTTTATTTTTTTTTAAATCTGAACCCTTTGCGCAGTTCCCGCCAGTGGAAGGCGCTATCTGCATGGGGAACTCCTTACCCTGGGGTGTGGCTGCCTCTTGGATGAGGAGGTGAACATAACACAGTCCTCAGGAGAGAAGATAATAGTTCTATATTGCCTTGAGATTAAAAAACCCCCACATAAAGCCACTGTTTTTAACAGAATGAAGTTTTAAACTCCTAGTTATCCTTTTGAATGTGTGTATACAGATTCCACAGATGGTTTCTCTTTACTGTGTGTATCAGCCTGGAGTCAAATCAAAGAAGGCTGTTTACCTCCAAAACCAGTCATCAAGAGACGAGAACAAAAAGGGGAACACCCTAGGTGGGAAGATCTCCTGTGCTCCCAGCTTACAGGAAAAACTCATGCTCTGTCATTGAGGTCTCTGGCACCGTAAGCTTCCTCAAGCCATTGCAGATGGTTTGAAGACTGAAAAGTTGGTGGAGAAACACCTTTACAAGTCTCCCCAGACGCTGCAGCAGCAAGATAACAACCCGGAGTTTCTCTGCAACGCTGTTACGACAGCAATCGTCTGTCATTTTGGAGAAAGGAAGTGCTTTGGTCTTTGAAGGCTTTTAGGGGGTAGTTCAGTTACTGCGCTGTGAAGAAGACACCAGTGAAGCAGGAAAGCTGGTTTCATCTCTAGTAGTGGCTTCTCTGTCATCTTTATGTCCATGTCAGGAATGGACTCTTGATTTTCCTGGAGGAAGCTGTCCCTATTGTGCAAGGCTCTCTTGGTTGTTTCAGAAGATGGGTGTTACACACCACTGCTGAATTCTGATCAGTTTTAGACGCTCCTAATGCTTGCTTTCCGCTTCCCGTGTTGGATTTGACAGACTTTTGCAGAAGCGTAGGCTGCAATGGTTAAATTACTGCTGGCTAGCAGATTCTGAGAGCGACCCAGGCAGGGCGTGTTACAATTTATGCCTGGATTCCTGTTCTCTTCCAGGGGTCCTCTTCCACCATACGCTCTTGAGTTTGAAACTAAGTGTGAGGGTTTCCTTCTGTTTTGATGAAATGCAGATGGTGTTTCTAGGATTCCTCGGTGAGGTCTTCTGCTGCCTCTGTTTAGCAATGCCGAGGAAGGAAGGGCAACAGTCCACGTTTGTCATGCTACTCGTGCCCAAAATGCTACTTCAAAGCTGACTGCTTCATCAGTGCTCCTTTGCTGGCCACTTTGTCCCATGCGCCGCCGTTCATATGCTCAAGGAATGGCCTCTCTTCAGATATGCCAGCTAGCCACTGGTGCTTGGGCTGCAGATGTTCATGCATCTGCCACCTTCTGACTGTTCCCAATCGAACTCGCTTCTTGTTCAGATGAAAAATTCAGTGCGTTCTGAATCCTCTGTGCTGGAGCAGTAAGCAGGCATAATACTGTGTCTTGTGGCAGACTAGTTGGCAGACAGCAGGGATAGCTCTTCGGCAATTTGAATCCCAGTTCTCATTTTCATTTTCACTTCTGTGCGCGCCACGGTCATGCGTTCTTCTGTTACCTTGCCTTTATCCTCTGTTGGTTAATTCCTTTAGGATAAGTGCACACAAGTGATAAATACTGACGGCACGCTGCATTGGGCTACATAACTTCACGTGCTCTCTTTGGCCATTTTGTCCTCTGCGCGTCTCCTGTTGAACTCAGCTGGTTTCTTGTGCGATCTCGGTGGACAGCAGCCACTCTCCTTGTTGATCTGGTATCTTGCTCATCGGTCAGATTATCAAGTACTCTTACTACATCAGCTGTATGCACTCAGTACTTGCACTGTGCCTTTTCCTAGCCTGGATAGCTTTGCTCTAGCACGCATCAAAAATTCATTTGGTTTAGGGCAGCAGTTTTCTGTGCTGCTTTGCTTTCCGTTGAGTAACTCTGTTTTCTAGCAGAGATGTGTGTGTGTCTACCTCACGAGGGTCGTTCAGCTTTTTCCCAGAGGAGCAGGATGTGCAGCACCTCTGACTTTGTCTCCAATAAAATAAAGTTTTCCAGACATACTTCCTGATCTGACAAGGCAGGACAGACCTTTCCTCATTAGCATCGGGCAGACTGATTTAATTTTAAATCAAGAGTGACGTTGGATTTTCCTGTGAATCAAAGTATATACAAAATGTTGCCCTTGAACTCCATGATTATCTCAGCAAGACTTGATTCCATTGAAGACATGTTCTCAAGACTGTCCAAAGCGTTCTTACAAATTACCCTAGCTCTTAGAAATTTTGGTGGCGAGTCTGAAGCATGATCTGTCTTCTTCTGAAGGCTCTGTAACTGGATCAAAGGCTGCGTTAAGACTTCTGACTCACTGAATAAACTGTCTCCTCCCTTTCAAGCTAAGGTATGCTACGCTAGGGTTTGCTTAACCAACACTGCCTTGCTTTATGAAGTCCTTATTTCTGCAGTGCCGTAGGTTACCTGCTTGGGGATCAGTTCATGCTCTGCCCATTGCTGTTGTTGCTGTCACATCTTAGAGTTTTGATTTCACAGAGCTGTTCTGAAGTCTTTGTTTTGATGGAAGAGTGGAAGTTTGAGTAACCAGCAGTCATTTAGTTGATTGTGGGACCACTGCGAGTGTATACAAAAGGTGCAAAAAGATAACCTGAAATTCTTCTGTCTGTATGTGTCTTAGCTTCGGTGCTTCATTTCTGCTGATAGAAATCCTTCCCTGCGTACATGGTATTAACCAGGGAGTCTGAGCAGGGTGACGACCTGCCGTTTGTTGACAGAGGACGTTTACTTGCCTTTCCTGCTTGCAGTGTAGGAGGCACAAATACGTATGCGGTGCACACTGCTGATGTGAAGACCGTATCCTTGTACTTGCACGTACAGAGTGTACACGTGTGCGGGCAACATCAACCTTTTATTGGGGTTTTGTATTTGAGCATTTGGAATATGATGCCAACGTTTAGAGTCCAACTGTGGTCATCCTCTTCAGAGAGCTCAGTCATCGGAGCAGATATCTGGTACAGCTTTTTGAAGTAGAGCTAGTTAAGGTGGGCAGATCTGGCATCCAAATGAGTTGCTTATATGTGTCTTCAGTTGCAGAGGAGAAGAAGTCTTTAAAGCGGACTTTTCAGCAAATACAAGAGGAGGAAGATGATGATTACCCTGGGAGCTACTCACCCCAAGACCCCAGTGCTGGGCCGCTGCTGGTATGTGGGACGGGTTGAGAGAGGGAGTTGTTCCAAAAGCCACCTCCTGTGTGCTACAGCCACAAGGTGGAGCTGCCAACAAGTAAAATCCTTTTAATGGAGAAATTCAGTTGGGGGTTGAGAAGTCCACGTGAAATGGAACAGATTCTTTTTTCATTTGAAACACGGTGCCACTTCTGAGTCATTTCAGGTGGTCTAAACCAAGGTCTGAGTAGTACCCCCAGTAAAGAACCCCAATGGACTGCTAGGAGGACAGACCATGTTTTAAGTTCTTTCTAAGATAGGGGTGTAATCTCTCAAGCCCAAAGTTGTAACACAGTTAAAACTTAATTATTTTTTTGTTGTAGGACACATCTCTCCGTCAGCTATTAAAAAGCTCAACCTTTGATGGATTTGTGTGGAAAACCAGTTCTGCATACTTTATTTTGAGGCTGATGTGGAAATAGTAGGAATGAAATAGAGCATCATTCTGACCATTTAAGGCAATTTCTGCCTTTTAAGGCAGAAATGGCATTTCTGCCATTTAAGGCACAATGAACACAGGTTGAACCATTGTCTATTTCAAAAGGATAAAAAAAAATGCCCTTCATCTGGCAGAGTGCGACCATTGAAAAATAAATAACAGTGGCCAAGGAAGCAAGGGAGACTTTTTTGTTGATTTTACCTCCAGCTGCCTTGCAGCTTATGGTTTCTTTTGATGATGAACATTGTGTTTGTTACTGTTGGAAATCATTAGCAGCTTGCAAAGAAGTAGTAAATATTAGGTAATGGACTCCTTTATTTTTCAGATTAAAAAAAATATTTAAAAATTCTCAGTGTTTTTATTAGTTTTTGAGCTATTGAAATGCCGTTTACAGGGCCGGGGTGGTGTTAGAGGGCTAGTGTGCCAGTTTCAAAAAACTCCCATTAAAGCTCCAGTATTTTTTAAAACAAAGCAGCAACATTTTTTCCTCCCTGTTAGGGAGTTTGTCTTTCTCCTTTTTTAAAAATTTTTTTTTTGAGCAGGGAGGCCATACGGTGTGTCGGGGCGGTCCTGTGAAGGCTGTCCTCATCCACGTCCCTTTCAAGCTAGGGGCCATTTTGAGTGTGTTTGTTTAAATGGACACACTCTTCCTCACTGCACTAAAACTAGCTGAGAGGTGGAGTTGAGGGGGTGCAGCGGAGTCCAGCTTAACTGCAGATGGGAGCGCGCTTCCGAGGGGCCGGCTGAGCTACGCAGGGAGAGCACCGGCCGGGCAAAATCAGGACAGTGTAAAGTTTGCTTTCACAGGGATAGCTGTCATCGTCATCAACCAGTTACAAAGCTCTAATGGAAATCTGATACAGTTTTGTTTGGACTGATAGAAGCTGGAGGGGTTGGGGGGGTGGTGTTTGGGGTTTTTTTTTTGGTTTTGGGATTTTTTTTTTTTTTCTATGTCAGAATGCTCCTTTGGAATAGAACAAAGGTGCACGTACAGTCCTGCTAGTCTAAGAGAAAGCGTCAGGGATGCTCGGCTAAAAGACATAGTCCCGATGTGATGCAACACGAAGGGCAGAGGGCTGGTTCTCAAACCCATGTGGTCGTGCTCTTTCTAGCTTTGTCTTAAATGGGCACTTCTCTAATTGGAGTGAGAAGTTTCCGCTGCAGAGTCTTGAAAAAGATGATCCTGCCGTAATAATGTCTAAGTTCATAAACAATAGGATATTGCAGACTTAGTGAATACTCCCTATGTTAGGAAGCAAGAGTTTAAAAATTACTTGAAGAAGATATTCCCCAAAAGGTTGCTTTCAAAGGTAGGGGACCTCAGATGCAGTGGCCACATCCACAAGAAATGGCACGGAAGTCACCTGGTTTAATGTCGGCTAACTTGTCTTGTAGACCGAGGATTTGATCAAAGCCCTTCAAGACCTGGAAAATGCAGCATCAGGAGATGCAACGGTGCGGCAAAAAATTGCCTCCCTGCCTCAGGAAGTTCAAGATGTTTCATTACTGGAGAAAATTACAGGTATGAAACTGAGAGATGAGTGAACATGAGTCCAAAGGATAACTTAAAAAAAAAACACAACAAAACACCACCAACAAAAAAAAAAACAAACCACAAAACCTTTGATTTCTAAATAATCACAGTATATGGTGGAGCGAATTTCTGCTTTTGTGTCCTTGATTTCTAGCTCTTGCATAATTAATAGATAGCAATCTTGGAAGTAAAATTGAAGATGAAATGTACGTAGCTGCTTCCATCTTTTTGGCTTGGACCAAGGCTTTTGTACTTGGAGAGCATCAACAGCATTTTGCAAGAATGTAAAGTAAACAGGGCCAGCGTTCTCGAATGAATGTGTTTCGGTTTTGCACACCTTGACTGGTAGCTATTTTGGGTTTTGTCAGGCTGTGCCAAGTACATACGTACTCCTTGCTTGCTACGGAAAAATAAACGCGCTACCCCCATTAGTCTGTCAGTCTTTGTTTAAACGGACTTTTGCAATTGTATTTGAAAAGCAATCTGAGTGGAAGCACTTAAAGGTTCAACTGATTTGACTCCTGTTCCCGGAAGTGGTTTTTAGAACTCATGAACTGTCACGTCCTCAGTCCTCTGTAATACCCTCTTGCAGTGTCCAACGGGGAGGTCTAGTGTGCAGTTCATGTGTTGGCTCGTATTGACACGCGAGGAGCTACTCAGGGAAAAGAAGTGCATACGTGTTTAGATGTGAAAAACACCCGATTTAACTGAATTCTGAAAGTACAGCCTGAAGTTTTGGTTTAATTAACCTGCTTATAGAGGCTAACTTCATAGATTTATTCCCCCCAAGCACTGATATCTATGCAAGGACAAAATGCAGTCAGTTATGTCAGCGTCTAAAAAGGACCGTTCCTGGGTCGTGAGTCCTGCCCATTTCCTTTATATCCCCTGTGATAAGAACTCTTGTTTTCCTGGCAAGCCAGAAGTGTGTTTATGAATGAGATGTTATTGTACGCGTGCCTGGTGAATTGTAGCCCTTCTGTCACAGATGAAAGTTTTAAACTTTGTCCTCTAAATCACCAAATGCTTTTGCATGCAGACAAAGAGGCAGCCGAACGTCTGTCGAAGACCGTGGACGAAGCATGCCTGCTACTAGCAGAGTACAATGGCCGGCTGGCAGCAGAGCTGGAGGACCGGCGCCAGCTGGCACGCATGCTGATTGAGTACACCCAGAATCAGAAGGATGTATTGACAGAGAAGGAGAAGAAGCTAGAAGTGAGTAGTGACTGCACTGCTGTGGCAAGCCGATTGCCTCACCAGATGCTCCCGCTTGACTCCTAGTCCGTGTGATTCTCTCGAGGGAAATGATTCTAGGTGTTATTTTTACACTGGGAGTAAAACAAGAGTAAGGACACGGTGTAAAAAGTCTGGAGGAAACAAATCTGTTCCGATGTTCAGTCTGGTATGTTTTAATACCCACGGACATGGATGGCCGAGGACTCAATACTTTTTAAAGAAAAATAGGCTCACTCAACAAAGTTTCTTCAGATTTTCTCTATTTTTTTACGAAATCCCCATTTCCAAAAAGTCAGCCTCCCTCTGCCATAATTAGCTGGGCTTTTTTTTATTAGTTGTGTTTTTGCTGTGCTTTTCCTTATGGTTGGGTGCCCCTCATCTGCTTCCCTACTTGATCAGGGGCTGCAGTTTAAACAAGATCTTCTGGCATCCCTCCTTTAACAGCCACTCTTACCTACCGCTTCTGTGACGGCGTACAAATTGGGCTGACAGGGAGGACGATGACTTGTGTTTCCTGCCGTAGCTCCCTTGAGCAAGGAGGGCAGGACGCCATGAAAGGAGACTGAACCCGAGCACCGGCTGCGCGTCCCAGAGCGGGTGCAGGGGCTGCGGCAGCCGGGCGTTGCGCTGAAACGTTCTTTCTCGGTGGAATTTCGTTCAGCGCCGCATCTTGGGACTAGTGTGGAAGTTTAATTAATGGTTGTGGTTGTGTGTCACTCTGCCATCTGCTAAACTGCCCCTTGGCGGCCCATGAAGGGCTTCCTCTGCGCGGCTGGCTCGCGGTTATGAGGAACAGCTGCTGCTGGGTGGGACGGGGGTTGCTGTAGAGGACAAAAATCCTCTGGAAGGAGACTGTGCTGGAGCAAGTGTGGGCTCTGTTTACTGTCATGACAAACCTAATCCTCTGACAGCTAGGCAACATTGTTCTGAGGTGACTTTAATTCTGAATGTTTTCTTTGTCATGTGTGTTTAGATTAGAGTTTCTCAATCTCCTGTGGCTACAAACGCGTTGCTTTTCCAGAGCAATATTTTCTCCAAATCAGCCAGACAAGTGCTGATGCTGCATTCAGAATTAGACGGGATAGTTAATAATTCTGTTGGCTTGTTTGGCTTGGGTTTCTTCAAGCATAGCGTCTGTCTTATGACTGAGTCATTAAAAGGCACTTTCAAACGCAGATATGAAAGATCCCCTAAAACCAAATCCTTTTAGCACCTGATTGATTTGCTGAATACTAGTGAGAGGCTTGGGTCATGGGGTTTTTTCCTGGCTGAGAGGACACCTGTGTCGTAGAAACATGCACGTGTGTGTGCGATATATGTATAAAAATATATAAATGGCAGGCATGTTGCCGTTTACTTTTTAAAAGAGGCAAGAATTAAGTAGCAAAATGCTGCACGGCAATGCTTTAAAAGCCCAGAACAATCCATACATGGGAGTCAGTTTGAGACTGTGAAATTACGAAATTCACAACGACAACATTAAATTAAAATTTCTAATGCACTAGCTGAAATGTTGTGACAGTTGTGGTGGTGTTTTGGAAAATATCCTTTTGGTAAGGAATTGCAGCTCCGGCAGAGGCAGAAATGTAATCCTGGAGATTAAGCAGTTCACTGGCTGAGCTGCTTTGTTGGTGGGAATAATCCCGTTGATGGCGACAGGACAGTCGCTTGCCCACTGCTAAGCGTAAACACGTTCTTCAGCGCGTTGGAGACTAGAGAGGGGCCGTACTGGATCTGTCTAGGCTCACCCTTGCCATTTTGCCAAAACAAGGTGGCCCTGCTCCGCTAGAAGCCTAAAATGAGTTGTGGGAAACGCCACACTTTAATACTTGCTTAACATAAAGGCACAGTCCCTGTTCCTGTCGGATCTCGAATCTTAGCTGAGGGATGTTGCTTGATCAGAGCATTCCATTGTTCTGGAGGTGCAGAGGGTTAACAAACAGCAGGAGATGTGGGTTCCAGATACGGCAGGCCATATCTGTTATCCGCTTTGTTGGAGTCTTTGATGTTCTCGCAGGAACATTATTGATAAGCCTGGGTTTTGCTTTGTAGTGCTAATCAGCATTTTAATGGAAGGGTCTGAAATTCTTGTAGCAATTAAGAATGTATCAAAACCCAAAACATTTACTCGGGCAAAGACTGAAATAAGAAAAGAGCTTAAAACAATCTGATTTTACATCTCTCTCATTGTAGGCTTTGCTCTCTCGAGGTATCTTTCCGGAATCTTTGGCACCATTGACTGTCACGTTCTCTCTCTTGTGAAGTAGGTTTCCGGCTCTCGGATGAGATGGCGGTTTTAGATAGAAGATGGATGGATTGCTTGCTTTGCTGTCCTGACCTAGCCGAGGCTGCTGGTTGGGGAAGGGGGGGTTCCGGCAGTAATACGGCTCGGGGCTTTACTTTAAGGTATGGAAATGTGTAATTTGGAAATCAGTCTGGATATTTCTTGTGGTTTATTTACTCACAGAGCAGATTCTCTCACTGTGATAGCAATGAAAGTAGCTAACCTGCATCTTTTGAGCTGCAGCTTTTGTGGTCTAAAGAGCTGCAGTTGTTTACTAATCCTGTTAGTACCATCCCTCGTGAAATGCAGCGACTTCTCAAAGCACATACATGCACGCAGTGTGTTCGTGTCTGGTGGGCTGACGCTCAAAATGCTTTGCAGCGTCAAAACCCTGTGACACAGAGCTCTTGCTGGTTGCAGAAAAGCTGTTTAATTAAGGGACATTATGCTGAGAAAGGTGGTCTCGGGCGTTGAGTTACACGTCAGTGTTGGTACAGACTGGCACGATTAAGGATTGAACAACGTGGTGCTAGGAAGCACTGGTAATTTGGAGGGAGGAAGCTGGCACAGAGCCTGGAGATCATAACACACGGAGAAACGCTGCTTTTCGGGTAGCAGTTGAAAAAGTGAGAGTGTAATACTCGGGATTAATTTATCTGGGGTGGGGTGGAGGTTGTGATAATCTGATTGTAGTCTAGAAGTGCTAGGAAGGAGAAGGTAGCATTCCTTTAATTCTGGCAATCAGCTGCAGAGCAAAATCAGCTGGATCAAAGCTGATGCTGAACAGCCTACAGCAAGGCGAATGTTTTTAAGGGTAAATATTCCTTAGGTTAACTCGCTGTGGAAGTGTGGTGGATTCTGTCGTTCCACATCTGAACACTGAGTTTCTCCTCATGCGGTGCTTCATCTCAGTCGGGAGCTGTGGGCCTGGTACTGCGGCTGCCGTGTGATCGCCATGGCCTGGGCTGGATCAGAGCTTGGCCTAGACTCCCATAATAGCAGGTGTCAAGAAATAAACCCATTTTCGCGCGGGCATAGAAACAGGAACTGGTATTTCCAGAAGAATGAGCTAAGGCGTCTTTGTACCTCGTATGAGTATTTCAGTTCCAACGAAAGTTCTCTGATTTGTGTTATTTCTGGCCGTTGCGGTGCCTGTTACCATTGCAGAGTACAATCGGCCAGGGAGGGTTTGTGTCCTTTAGCACCTGAGCCTGCACAACTTCAAGGGGAAGCGTTGGCTTTTGAAGTCCGTGTCCCCTTCCGAGCCTGTGGCAGGCTTGTGGAGAAGATCCAGGGAATCAGTTTGTGTGAAGCTGAAATGTACGGGGGCGATACCCGGGAGAACCTTTCCATGTGGGTGGACCAGGTGACTGTAAAATGAAGTCAATTAAATAGATGGGACTAGGAGAAGCAAGTAATGCTAGAAAATGGCACATTGTGCGGAAGCTTTATGGGCGTCTGAATTAACTACTGACAAGGGAACATTCGGAGTGAGTAGAGGGCGGGTGGTTTTAATCTAATGGGGAAAAGAGGAAAAAAAATCAAGAGGAGAACGCATTCAGAATTTCTGTTTTGCTTTGCAGTCAGTGATGCTGAGCTCTTCCCCCTGCCCTCCAGGTACCTCCGTTTGTAAAAGGTGACATGAGGAACGTGCTATAGGATGTCCAGTATGTATATACAGTACGGTGTGTACGTGGGGTATGTGTGTATACGTACGAATATGTCTGTGCATGTGTGTACAAATACAAACACCGTACTATATTTCAGATTCAATTTAGGGGAAATGTTCTGATTGTTGGCTGCATCTGAAAAACTGTGACTTAGAATCCTGCTGAGAGCTGTGGGGGTTTTTAGATGGTGGTGGTTTTTAATATTCATGGCTTCAAGGCACCTTTCATAAGGTGTTAAAGCTGTGGCCATATGAGTTTGCCAACCCTCAAAGATAGCACATCTCTGCAACATGAAGTACATTCTCACTAGAGGGTTTCTGGACTGCCCAGCACTGCACATTTTCTTGGAATACGATTTAGTTCAGCGGGTTAATATGCAATTTATTGCTGTGTTGCTTAGGATTTTGTTGCGTGTCGCTGCTGGCATGCCTTTGTGGCTGCTGCGTTCCTCTCGGACAAGAGTTCTTGGGTTGTGGTATATTCGTTTCAGTGGTTTAGGCAGGGAAGTTTTAGTTTTTCAGCCAGGCAACAAAAACGTCAGCATTTCATGTGTGTGTAAGTAGCCGGAAATAGCTGTGGGAACAAGGCAGCGGGGGGAGGTCTCCTGCTCTACACCCGGGCAGGGCAAGGCGACCCTGAACAGGAGCACCCAGGCCCAGAGCACCCAGGCCCAGGAACTGCTGATCAGCATGGTAGAAAGGGACCAACTGCACATGAGTATTGCCAGCTGTGAGCCAGTTGTGCCCTTGGCCGTGGGGCAGGAGTGAAGGCTGGTTTGTCGTGACAGAATGCACGAACACGGCGGTGAATCTGGCGCTGTTGTGCGGTGCGTGGCTCGAGGCCACAGATGTGTTCTTTGCACAACGCAAAAGTAGAATTTCTTCACTTTGTAGGTATTCATAGCTATAGCAGTACTGCAAATGAAATCGTACTAAAAAAATAAAAGCAAATAAAAATCATTCAGTATTAATATAGAATGGTTTCATGCATTTTACTGATGTGAACCAGTATTAAACTACTCTTTT